ATGTACATTGTGTTCACAGGCTCCTCCTGCACCTCCTGTGGGAGTTTCTGCTCTCCGGAATGGTCAGTTCCAGCCCAACCTCAGAGAAGCTTTTTGGGGAGATCACATCCCCCCGTTACCCCAAGCCGTACCCCAACAACAACATCAGCACCTGGGACATCACCGTCCCCAAGGGCTTTGTGGTGAAGCTGAACTTCGGGCTCTTTGACCTGGAGCCCTCTGAGTCCTGCCTCTATGACTACGTGAAGGTGAATGCAGCAGAGCCCTGGGGCATGCTGGGGAAGGGGAGCGGGAGTTGGGGACCTCAGGGCACAGGCTCTCCTGGCTGTCCCACAGGCACTGAGGAGACAGAGAGAGTCAGAGATGCCCGCACCAGGGAATGGTGATACACGGAGCAGGTTGAATTTCACAAGGTTCCTGATTTCCCGTCCCCCTTTCTGCTTGACAGATCACAGCAGATAAGAAAGACCTGGGCCGGTACTGTGGCCGGCAAGCCTCAGCCACAGGCAACCACCCGGGAGCCAGGGAGTTTGTGTCCAAAGGGAACCGCATGAGGCTGAAGTTCCACTCGGACTTCTCCAATGAGGAGAACGGCACCGTTATCCCCTATAAGGGCTTCCTGGCCTATTACCAAGCTGTGGGTGAGTAGGAGAGCATCCCGTGACCCCATGCAGGAAAGCACAGCCGTGTCCTGCGCCCCATTCCCAGCAGGCAGGGGCCTCAGGACAGCAGCCAGTCCCGCAGCACCACCAACATGGCGCTTTCAGTCGGGTTTAACTCTTTCTTCCCCTGATGCCCTGCTCCTCTGTCCCCACAGACCTGGATGAGTGTGCCTCTGGCAATGCTATTGAGGAAGATGAGGGGCCTGTGTGCCAGCATCTCTGTCACAACTACGTGGGTGGCTACCTCTGCTCCTGCCGCCCCGGTTACCAGCTGCAGAGCGACCACCACTCCTGCCGAGGTGAGAGAAAGGTGCAGAGACGGATGCAGAGGGAGAAGGGTGCAAGCGTGGGAGAGCCCAGAGCGGAAGGGGAGGGATGAGTGAGCTAGGAAGCAACTGGTGGGTAAAAGGCTTCCCCCTTTTGCCCACTGTAACTGCTGCTCTTTCCTGTCCCCCAGTGGAGTGCAGCAGTGAGCTGTTCACCGAGGCCTTTGGGTACCTGTCGAGCCCAGAATACCCTCTGCCCTACCCCACGCAGCTGCGCTGCAACTACAGCATCCGTCTGGAAAGGGGGCTGGTCATCACTCTCAAGTTCCTGGAGCCCTTCGATATTGATGAGCACCAGCAAGTGCACTGTCCCTATGACCAGCTCAAGGTACTGGAAACCAGCCCAAACCTGTGTCCCCCCCTGCAGCCAGGCCAAACAACCCTGCTTCTCCCTGCAAAGAGCTCAGAGACCCAGCCCTGCTGGCAGGAGGGAGCAGAGGTTAGGAAAGGGAGAATGCCCAGGGTGCAGAGCAAAGCTGTTTTCCCCAGTGAGGCCATCCACTGGGACACCTAGTTCCCAGCACTGTGAGCAATGGGCCTCTGGGCCCCTCCCAGATCTCTCAGTGCTTGGGACAGGTCCTGGATGCTAACCAGAAAACACTCCCCTCTGCTCCATTTCACTGCCTCATCCCTGACAGTCCTTTCTCCTTCATTTTCCTACATTCTGGGTTAGGTGGACCCG